TCGGACACGGAGGTGCCCCCGCTGGACTTGGGCTGGACTGACAAGACTTTCTACCGGGGCATCAGCCGGGTGGCCCTTTTCACGCACCCCCGCAAGGAGGAGAGCGCACCCCACCTGAAGGAGGAGGTGCGGGGAGGTGATCCAGCAGGCGCAGAAGGTAGGGCCTGGCCGCTGCACCACGGGGCAGCCCTTGCCTGCCTTCGTGCCTGGGCTGGGGGGCCAGCCTGGCCGGGGGGCACGGGGGGCAGCGGGGAGGAGAGGGCCGGCCAAAGCAGGAGGAGAACCTTGGCCCAACTAGCTGGTTGGTGGCCACCAGGCAGGGCCTTCCCTGAGGTTTGTTGCCAGTCACGATACAGTTTGCCAAAGCTGATGGCCAGGGTGGGGTTAAACCCCTTCACCAACCCCCCCAGCCCCAAACTGGGTTGTACCCATGTGTTCCTTTTTGTGATTCACTGGCTGAGCGAAGTTGGGTCATGATGCTGTGCCACCCACCCCTCCTGTACGTGTACTAGGTATCCCCTGTTAAAGACAGGACACCGAGTTTGTTTGTGGGTTAGTGTTTTTCAGGGTTTATTTTCTGTGGTATCAACACCATCCAGGCTTGACTGCAAGCAGCCAGAGTCCAGACAATATGCAGTTGCTCTTCCTATTTATCTTTGGCTGGAAAGGACTGTCAGTGGTGACAGGGCACCTCTGGCAAGAAAACAGATTGTCTGTGATGCTACAAGAGCTTGCGCTGAATAGGTAGGGGGCAATGATGAGGTTTTCTGGGTCTGCGTGAAGCTTCCAGAGAAGACCACCCAGGCAATGATCCCCTTTGGAGCTCACATCCACCCTGGGGAAAGGGAATAATAGCATAATAGACTTTGTTCCTTCTCTTAGTTCTGCTGCTTTCTGGTTTTTTTCTGCTTTCTAATTCAGCAGTTATTTCCTCCTCCACCCACCACCTCCCCCCACCCCCCAGCACACACTATAGGCACAACCTCTGCAGACTTCTTAAAACCAAATCTGGTGGGAAACACAAAACAATTTCCATAGAGGCATTAGTCCACTGAGTGATCTCAGCTTCTTGTTCACAGAAAATCATGCACAGTGACTGGTGTGATCGGTCCTTTTAGAAGAGGTGGAAGCTGTAAAATGCATACACTGATTTAGTGCAACTTCACATCCTCTTTGTGCTGCTGCCAGTGCCTCTACAGACTGCAAGGACTGGGAGACTTCTCTTTTCGATAGCTGTGCCTGGCACCTAAAAATCATTAGTTCCTTTGTAGTTGTTTTTTTTTTCACTGAGTGGACAAACTGTGCCTCTCTCAGCCCAAAGGTGGTTTTGTGTTTAACAGCCATTTAAGTGTTTAATGGTCCTTCCCATAGATATCTATGCCTATTGTGTTCAGCTGAGCTGGCCCTGGCAAAAAAAAATCTCCAAGTAGCTGCTTTTCATTCAGCAGAGGAGAGTAGGTGTTGGTTGTTTTGAGGGGTATTTTTTGGGGTGGGGGATCCAAACAGATATTAGTAACATGTGGCACATATTTGTGGGTGGCTTTTCATCAGTGTTTTACAAACATATGTTAATTAAGCTACCTTGCTGCAATGAGATTGGCAAGTTAATGCTTGCCAATCTGTGAATACCTGTGAAGAGCTAGGCACACCTATGGGCCTAATAGATAAGGTGTTTTCCATGGGATAGGTAGAGGAATAGGGAAAACCTCTTGCAGGGGTAGACATTCATGCTCTGACTTGCTGTATATGGGAACACTCCTAGGTAGTCTTCACACATCACCTGGTGCAACAGGGGTTTGAGAAGACTAACACACCAGCAGTGGAGTTGCATACCACCTGTTCTGCTGGCTCGGAAGTGCCATCTGCAAGGCAGCTAATCCACTTTTCCTACAGGACTGCGGTGTCATGGGTTAGTCCACAGTCTTGCAAAGAGGCCTGAATTGACCTAGAGCCCCAAAGGCTGAAGGGAACCATCCCTTCATTGTGCAAGGCCAGTGCTAACAATTAATGGTTTGTCCAGGATGTGGTGTGATTTCTGCAGTCATTTGGAGTCATTGAAATGGAGGGGATGTAAAGAAAACAAATTCACACTTCCACTGTCTATTCTTGATCAGTTCCCTGTGTGGATGTTCTTACTTCAAGTGAGTAGTATCTGGCATCCTTGGTTCTAACTACGTCCTTACAATGGTGTGTGGAGAGGAAGCGTAATAGGCCTGAATTAATGTATGAACTCTTCATACCTTTAATTGTAGTCTCTCTGTATATGAAGTTGTTTGGGAATAAAGTGGCAGAAGTTCACTGTATTTTAATTTTCAGAGGGTCTGGTAACATACATCTTGCCATTTTGTGCTAGGAAATGAGAACCAAGGCAGGACCTGAAATCCAGTTCTGCCTATTAGATGTTACTAAGGGACTTCACATTAGTTTATACTGTATCTCCACAATAGTTCACCCGTGTCCGGAACCTACATGTTAATGATGAGCGTAAACACAATTTCTTTTTTCTTCTAACAAAGAAAATCTTGTGTAAGCACTGTTGACAGAAGGAACCTGACAGAGCAGATGTGCTGGTTGTTGTTGGCTGTGCAAGCAGAGACTCAACAAACACAGTAGGGGACATTTACTGTGGCATCACTTTCCCAAAAGCAGTTTGTTCAAGGGCATTTTTCAAAGGAAAGAGGTCTCTGGTGAAAATTATCCCCCTTTCCACTGGAGGCTCCTGCAACTTGAGCTGCACCTCTTCCAAACTTCAAGCAAAGAAAATCCTATTGTTTGATCCAGTCTTCAGCTCCACTGACACCTGTATGTGCTGTCCCAGCACAGCCTGGTGCATTACTGTGACCCCGGCCTCTGGGAAGTTAAAATTTAGGCACCTCTATTCCTGGCATATGATCAGCATGAGAACTCTGACCTGGCAAGTTGAAGTTTCCTAGCAAGGCTCGGGAAACAGTAGTTTCCTTTATTCATAGCCTTCCAAATGCTGGGGAGAATAACTGAATCAGAAGTTATTTGATATTTCTAATGGTAAAAAGATACAGAAAGGGAGAGAAAGACAAAACATGTAAGATCAGCATTAAAGTTGCCAATAACTTGCTTGGTTTTGTTGTTACTCATCCTATGAATGTTCAGGCTTGTCTGTCATGTTAGTGCACCTTTTGTTTTATGGGAAATCTATGTCTGGAAAGAGGGATTGGTTCTATACCAGAAGAAATTTACACATGAAGAGAGGGAATGATAATTTTGCCTCCAAATCTTGAACACACACTCCAGTCCCCTCCTGACAAATGAAGGTGTTTATGTTTGTAGTCCATAAGACATTCCTTGGGAAGCCATCCCTGAAAGCAGAGTTCTGACAGCAATTTGGGAAAAAAGAAAAATAAAATTATTGTTTGCACTATGAACTGTGGTTGAGGATTCAGGCCCTGATCCCTTTGCACATTCATTCTTCCATTACTCACTTTCTGATTAAGTCTGAGAAGTTTATTTTTCACTCTTCTTGTTTCAGTCTGTGTTCAGTGTTCTTCTTTGTTTTAAGTGGATCCTTACAGAATGAAAGTTTTGCAATACAGAGGAAAAGCTAGCTACTTGGTTTTGACGTTCCTCAGGCTGCTGGAATAAGACCTCTTCCCCAGAAAAAGGAGAAGTGTCAAAGACGTAATTATTAAGTTCCTTCCAAAGTGCAGCACGAGCCAAGCCAGATAATTACAAGATTACTGGTCATGCTTGGGCGTGTAGATCTCTCTACTTTTGTCTCCCCTATATGCTGCTTCTCCATATTCTGGTATCAGTGCTTTCCTTTATTTTGCACCAGTGGGATGGGCCTCCCTTTCAGTTCCTGATTATTTTTTTTTTCAGTTGTCTGTCTTCTTGTTTCCAGATTATTGCAGTGGTTATGGATGTATTTACAGACCGGGACATCTTCCGTGATATTGTTGATGCCGCATATAAGCGCTGGATCCCAGTTTATATAATCCTAGATGAAGAGGGAGTGAAGCTCTTCCTGGAAATGTGCAGATGCCTTGACCTCAGTGACTTGCAGATTCGGGTAAGATACTAAATACTGAACTATTACCTGCTGCAGGTCAGTGGCCTTTTTCAGTTGTAATGAATCTTTGAACTCACTTGTACAGCAAACACATCTCTTCCTTCCTACAAATCACATGACAGCACTTAGACAAGGGTTAGTGAAACAGAGAAGGATAAAGGAGTGACTTCCTAATACAAAAGGAAAGAGAAGGGAAAGATTTTGAGTTTTTGCATTTCACCTGAGACAGGAGTATGTGTTGTTTCTTGGTTCTTGTGACATACAAATTTCTATTTGAGAAGAAAATTGAAGAAAATTCCTGTGGGTCCCCAATGCAAGGATTCAGGCTGGAGTCCAGAGTAGCTTTTTTGAGTTGTTTGCATGGATCCCAGTTATAGGACACATATACTCCAAAATCAAGACTTTTCTACCCACCAGAGATCATCTGGGAGTGAATGAGCTTCTATTCCTCTGCCTGAGAATGTAAGGGACTGAGTAGCACAGCTCCTCCCCAGTTCTGTATCAGTATATGCCTTCATATCGTGCATGCAGCACAGAAGCGTACTTAGCCCAGCTTGGCTGACAAAAGCAGCCTCAGTAGGATCTTATTCCATTACATACAGACTGAAATTCTTTGTGTGTTTATAGTTAGCATTGTATTCCCTGGGGTTTTTTTTTCCATGTTTTTAAGTCACTGTCACTACTACAGACTTGTTCCCAGTACAGAAAATGTTGCTAGGTTGGAAACAGCCTATGGGATACCAGACTAGCCCCTCTTGTGATCCAGCCGTTCTTCTGAGTAGTGGGCATGGGGAGGGAAGTGCCTTTTAGCCTGAAGGAAGGACAGATCTTCCATAAACACTGAATTAATAGTTAAAATAAAATTTTAAACCACAACCAAAACTCAAAAGCTCTGAAGGTTATAGAGGCTCATATTAACCATTTTAGGAGAACCATCTTAAATAGAGATGAAAATGACTTGCATATAATGGTGCTCCTGTGAACTACCACTCTCCTCCGAGTTTCTGGACTTCATCAAAAAAGACATCCAGCTGAGCAGCTTTCTCATCTTTCTCCAAAACAGAGATGGAAGTTTCTCTCCTCTGGTGTCTTTGAAAGCAAGACATAGACATCATTATAATAGACTTGTTTCTATTGTTGAGAGGATTCTGTGGCCTAGGCTTGAGTCTCTTTGGTACAAAACTGTGAAATCACAGCAGTAGTTTCATTTGTTCTGATACCTGTTTCCCTGTACTTTTCTCATCATTTTATCATGTGCAGGATTGATGCCTTCAGTGCTGCATATTTTAACTCTGGGATACAGTGAATGAAAAGGTGCTCTAGCATTTTAAAAAGTTGCAATGCTATTGGAGAGGTGAGTTCCTTGTTGTCTGCCTTCTCTGTCTTTAAACAGCAAGCAGTCCCCATCTGCTCTGCCTCTTACCTCTTTCACCACAGGTATCTGCATGGACTTTACACTCCAAAACAAACCATCACAGTGACTGGGTCCTGCAGCAGCCTAGTTGCATTACCCTTTCCAAAGAAGCAGGGTTCAAACTGATGCCATCAAAAGCTGGAGAAAACACTTGTGTGTCACTCCCATGCTTCCCTTTTCTCACAGCAGCCCTTGCTGTGTTTTTTCATTAGGCTCCTTCAGCTAACAAAAAATTCAAATACAAGCTGAGCTGAAGGAGGTCCACTGAGAAGAACTTTTTAACATCTGTCTTTGGCCTAGTTGTTCACTCTTCTGCAGAGCTCCAGCTCACAGAGGGCTGTCCTTTAACTTTTTCCCCTCCTTTCCAAGCCATCTCATACTGTGTCTTAAATTCCCTTTCGTGTTGTTGTATTCCTTTTTGAGTATGGCTAAGGCTTTAGTTAATCTTGTTAAGGTCAATGCAGTTTATTCCTGTCTATGAGACTATGGAAGGAACTGGGAATAGTCTTCCTGTAAGGGGCAACAGGTCATTTGCCTTTTAAGGAAGAGAGCCTCTTAGTATCCTGCCCAGGGCTGCCTTGGATGTGTCTATGCTGCTGCTTGGGTCAGTATGGCAGAAATCATCATATCATTTTCAGCAACAGGGAAAATGTTTTCTCCTTACACTGTCATTTTGTGTAGCCATTTTGCTTTCTTCTAAAAAATTTTCACCAGTGGCCACAGTTTGTTAGCAAAGGAACTGTATACAGTTTCTTTCTGCCCTGCTTCCCAGCTTTGCTTCGGAATGCCTGGGCAAGATTTACAGGATAGCTTTTTCTCAGAAAGTTGCAGCAACTTTAAGGGCTAGAGGCAAATTCTGATCTGAGGGAAAGAGAGAGATGACGCACTACCACAGGCTGTCATTGCTGCAGGGTCAGGATGCTTATTCTGTCCTGTGTCATCACAAGATGCTCAGATTGTTCTGTGATTCCTGCCCTTTTCATACAATGCAGAGTGAATACTTCAGCAATCCTAATACAGGGAAATTAATGTTAACGTTGGATTTTACTCTTTGTCTGCATACAGTGCTGGGCATTTTCACAAAATTCCTGGCTATTGTATTGTTTTGAGATGGCAAGGTTTCATGACCTGCCAACAGTCTCACAGGAGGGCAACTGCTGTAGTACCTCACTCTGCAAAGACAAAAAGTTCTTAACCGACTCCAAGTATGAAATAAGAAAAACCTAATTTTTTGTCTGAAGGCCAGAGATCACCAGAAACTCATTTAAATTCAACCCTCGGCACATTCATCCTGGGATGTGAGTAAGAATGTGTTGTGTGTATGTGTGAGTCATATGGCTTCCTGAGCCTACAGGACATGGTTTGCCAGACTTCTGATATATTTGACATAGGAGTGTTCTTTGGAGATCACAATTAATCAAAGTTCTCATAGGTATACGTTTCATAGCCTCACAAAAAGTCCTATTTTTGTTGACCTGAGGGTGAGTGCTCTCACCACTTCTTAGATGAGTTCTCTTTCTTCTCTTCCTTCTGCTAACCAAGACCCCAGTGTCAGACACTCCTGCTCAAAGATGGGGAGTTCACCTAGAGCTCCAAGCAAGACCAGGGAATGAGTTATGTGCAGGAAGTTCACCTTTATGTTAAATTTTACATTCATTTTCCTAAGACATAAGGAGTTCCTCCCCTCACTCCCCCCCCCACACCAGGAATTCTTAAAAGTTTCTGCCTAAGGAATTTTTGGAATTTCATTTCAGTATTTCATGTCTTTCCTCATCGATTCCTAAATCAAGCAAGGGAGAAGCTGAATGTGGTGTGCTGCAGTGCTGTTGATTTTTTAATTATCTGTTAGAGAATTCTAGGCTGCTTGTGACCTTTTGAAAACAGGTTTACAAGGCTCTCTTTTTTTTGCAAATATGCAAATAAATAGTACCCAGTAACGACCTGGACAGGTCATGTCCAGCCAGCTGCATTCCATCCTATTCTACTTGAATACCTGCAAGTTTTTGTCAGCAAGCATGCCTTTTCCAAAACTTTTCTGGGCAAATACGTAGGATAAGTCCATGGTATTTCCCAGCATTACTTGGCTTCTTCCAGATTGTGGCTGCTTTTCTGTCCCTGTGCAAGATGAGCACCTACCACCCATCTCTCTGCCCTGGAGGTCTGATCACCAGAAATGAGAATCTTGCAGACCTTGAATAAGAAAAATTCCTTTCCTGTTACTGTGGTCCTGTCCACATGAATCTCATCCCTCTCTTCCTCTTTCCCCCTTTGTGGTACCTCCATTTGGTATTTAAGAGTGGGAAGTAATGGGCATCTGGGGCCTCCCCCTCAGCCCTGTGCTCAGGTGAAGCAGTAGTACAAGAAAACAAAGGACAGGAGTTACCCTGATGTATTCTAGTGACTGAAGGGATCTGATTTTTCAGGAACAGCAGAAAGGGGATCTGCACATTTTTTACAACACTGTCAATATAAGGGACTGTTGAGTCACTGTCATCTATCAGCTACTGCTTTTGCCTGTTGCCTCTCCTTAATCTGTTTTACATCAGTTAGATTATAGTGGTCATTCATGTCATCCATCCCAACTTGAAATAAAGATCCCTGCTTGCTTTGCAATGTAGATATCAGTGGTTGTTCTTAGAAGAAAGGTGCACATAGGATTCTCTGGTGGAAGTCCTTGTGATGCTTCTCTTTAGGGTCTGTCTTGTGTATCCCTACTCAACCTCAGCTTGTGAGCACTGCTGCCCAGATCTTTCAAGTGAAAATTAAGTGTCAGTCAAAACAAAACCTATTACTGATTTTCTAAACTAGGTCTAGTTTAACCTTCTGTGGATTCAGGGTGAGGTTTAAAAGTGTGTCACAGTAAAGCAAGAAAGACTGTCTCCTTCACTGTTTGCATTAGGATGCTCTGTCAGGCTTGACTGTAACCAGTCCATATTAAGTTGCTGCCAGGGAGACGTTAGTCACTGCTTGTGATGAGGAGTGGTGCAAGCCTGTGTAAAGGAGATGTGGAAATTTTATGCACACTGTTGCTTCCATAAGCCAGGATATGACAAACCTTAAGCAGGCTTCTGCAAGAATACAGATCTGGAGGGGGTCGCTTCTATTTGGTGAACTAAATGATCTTCTACCCAAAATATTTCTTAGTACTGTAACATTAGTGCCCCCCCAAAGTGGCTGCAAGCTCACCCCATTTATATTTGTCTTTCCTCTTCTGTTGTTATATAGTCTTTAGTATATGAAAGCAGGCTTGTTCCTCCTGTGTACAGCTTGATAGATCAGTCTACAAATGCTCCAAGATCCTTCAAGGCAGAAAACATAATACAAATAACTTATTAAGTGACTCGATGTTTATATGACTTTGTGCTTGTTTTCTGCATTTCAAGATGTATTTATGCACTCTTGTGCCTACTTTGTTCAAGGAGGTTTATGTGTTCAGCTGTTTGGTTCTATCCCTTCTGTGCCTTTCTAAGTGTGATGCATAGCTCAGTTGCTGCAGAAATTCAAATGTGCTTTTTTCCACTAAAAGAAGGTGATATAACATACAAACACAATAAAATCGCAGTTGTTACATGCTAAGAAAGTTTCTGCTCACACAGGCTGATACTTCTTGTTTCACAAGAGGTACATGACATGTCAGAACTGTTGACTGAAGAACGGAAGTTCTTCCTGACACTTAAAGTCAGTATTCTGTGATTCAGCAAATCCCACATCTTCACTCAGCAAGGAAAAAAAAATATTTCAGGTGATGAGCCAGCCAACTACGATTTTTTTTTAATGTACTGGAAAGGGCACCCTTTCTCCTGTGCGCTACCCAACCTGCACTCAGCATCCCACACATATGAGTCACTTAAAGGCCTTGGGCAAGTCACTTCATCTTTTTCTCTTTCAGGCTCCTCATCTTTAAAATGGGATAATAATACTTTAATCAGTATTGGGAGCATTAATTAGTTAATGCCCACACAGGACTCCAGACAGATCAAGCAATAGGTGAATGTGAAATAGTAGTATCATCAGTTACTATTAGTCAGAATTTGTACTGACACTGCTCTATTTTAGTGGGGGAAATAGGAGCGGATTCAAAAGGTAAGAGTTATATTCAGATTATTAGTATTTTTAAATAGATCTGCATTCTTACATCACAAGTTCCTGCATGCTGATTTTTATAGCCTATCAATATTTAAGCTGTCAGGGAGGTTTATAATAATAGGACTTAGCTGTCTATGGGATGCGAGGCTGTGCTAGCATGTACTAAATCCTCATGATTCTCCTGCTCCTGGAGATGGGGGGAGAATACAGCAAAGGTGGATTGACTTTCCCAGAATATCACACAGTATAGTGTCAGAACTGTGATGACACCTGGGACTGACTCCCAGCCCTGGATTTATTGCTCCGTATCACTATACCTTTTTAGCTTTCCATTGTTAAAGAGTTCTTACAGAAACAGATGGTGGAATGAAGAAAATGGTCTAAATTTGTGTGTCAGGGTGACAAGATAATTTTCTCTAAACTTAGACTAGCAGTCAATGCTTTTGGGTTTTGGGGTTATGTGGGGGGAGGTGTTTCATGTTAAACAGTTTGGCAGTTCAGCCTCCTGCAGCCTGAACTCATGAGCGGAATTGCACTCAGTCCAATGTGCAAATACAGTAAATGCAGGCACACATCTGTTGTTGAAAACCATGTAATCTTAAATCTGTGATTTTTCTGTGCCTGGTACTGCTTTATTACTTTTAGGTTTGCTGGCCAAAGGGTGTAAGAAGGGAGGTTTGGGGAGAGGATTTTTTTCTAAGTACTCCCATTCATTTAATGAAAAGTTTTTTCTTCCTCTTCTTCAGAATTTCTTCTTTACTTGCCTACTCCTTTTGTTAAAAAAAAAAAATTGTGTTTTTTTCACTCTCTGTTGAACAGTGAGGAATCTAGGTAGACACTGTAACTATTTGATGTTCTTAGTAAAATTATGAAGGTCAAGTTTTGCTTTTGTTATAACATATAGGAAACATATATATATATGGCTTTTGAGCAATAGAATTGTTTCATCCTCTCTTCTGTAATGATTAAATTGTCCAGTCTCCTAATTTTCCCAGTTTTGTCAAGTCACATGCTGTTGGGAACCAGAACACAAGCACAAAAAGAACCTAAGATAGACCCATCTCAGTCCTTTGCACTGCACAGGTGTTGCAAAGTGCCTTAGTTTTGTAGTACTGCTGATGTCATCTGGAGAAGAACTGGTGTAAAATAGGGATCAGGATTCAGAAAGCACAGACGGGACTCAAGAGCTTCCTCTGATTCATTCCCCTGAACTGGGCTGGGTCTTCTGAGCTACAGCACAGGACTGGAGATGGAGGATTATTTGATTTTGAAGGCATTGTCTTGCCAATGGGCTAAGATGAATAGCTGAAGATAGCAGGCAGGGTTACAAAGATGCTGGCTCATTGGACAGGGCTACAAATTAATGGAGGGGAGTGACTTGCATAAACAAGAGATGACAACAGGTCTAATGGCACTATGCTTTCCTTTCTGCAGCCCTTCTGATTTCTGGTGGCTGATACAAAATGAACTATAGTCCCAGAAGTAGTGAGATAATGTGAGTGACATGTTAAGACTTGGAAATGGCAATTATCTAATTCTCTGCCCTATTTATTGTGACATTTTGTCTTTTCACCTACCTGTTAGAATATCCGCATACGCTCTGTGACAGGAGTTGGGTTCTACATGCCAGCAGGGAAGATCAAAGGCACATTAGCATCCCGATTCCTGATGGTGGATGGTGAAAAGGTGGCCACTGGATCATACAGGTGGGTCCCTCTTGCTTAAGGCAAAGCTATATTCTTTTTGTGTAAAGAATGGCTTGTGACTTTTCTTGAGAGTCCCATGTCATTCCCTTTCCCCTCCCAGCCTCTATAATCTGTGTGGCATCTATAGGAGTTGGGGTGGGATGACAGAGAAGGTGTCATAGAGCACAAGCTGCTCCTCAGAGAACAAAACATGCCCATGCTAGTGGACCATTTCAGTGGGCTAGAGATAGCTCCCCACTGTGTCAAGTGGTGGCCTGCAAGGACTCCCCACCAGCCACTGTACTCAGTTCTTTTCAGTCTAGAGACACCTTGTGTTGATGCAGTGTTGCTTTTTATAAAGGCTAAACAGTCCTTCAGACTTTTAGGGCCATTTCTTCCAGATCTGGTGTGCATGCTTAATGAAAAACAGTAATAAAGGGGTTCATGTGTCTGTGCTGACCCATCTTGTCAAGGACATACAGGCAAATGGCACAATGTTAGATATCCCCATGTAGCGTCTTAAATATTGTTAGGTGAACTGGGTTAAGTGTGCACCCAAAAATCTAATGTTAGGTTTTTTTCCTACTCTTAGCTTCACATGGAGTTCATCCCACATTGACAGAAACATCCTGCTAGTCTTGACAGGACAACATGTGGAGATGTTTGACATTGAGTTTCGTGAGCTCTATGCCATCTCAGAGGAAGTTAATTTCTACAAGGAACTGGGTATTGCTAACCCATTCCTTCTTGGAATTGGGAAGCCAGGCCTTCATTCCTCCACTGTAGCTCGGAAGTTCATTAACCCCAAGTATGGTTTAGTGGCAGGGGCAACTCGTGGTGATATGATGCTCTGGGCTTCACGACACCGGCAGGATAATCAGGGGAACACGGAAAAGGAGGAAACAAGTGAGTCAAAGAAACGGTTAAATCAGTTTCTGAATGACTTAGTCACATTGGAGCAAGAGTTCCCAGAAATTGATCCACCTTTGGAGAACTTGGCCAAGCTGAATCGGAGCCCTCAGAAACTGTTGTACCGGATCCAGATGGACCTGAAAAATAAATCAAAATCCAGAGAGTCTATTCGTGATGTGAAGAAGGAAGATGCACAGGCCAATTCAAAGCAAGGAAAACGGTTTGCCAGTGGGCTTTTCAGTCGCAAGGCCAAACGGTCTCCAGGCTCAAGCATCGAGGCCAATTCTTTTGCCAGCGAAGGACATTCAGGAGAAGACCTTGGGAACATGAAACTGGAATATGAGCAGCTGAGCATTGGCCATGCTAGTGTTCGGAGCACTGGAGGTGTCTCAGGTAAAACCTCTTCTACCAGCATATTCTGCTTCTGTGTCCCTTGGTCTGAGTTTGGCTGGTTGCTGCCAATGTATCCATATAAGCACCTGTGAGTAGATGCTTTTATTTCCTCTATATTAAAATGAGCAGGATCAAAGAAGAGCAGAAGTTGTATCAAATGATACAGGCAATTTAAGTTGAAAGCAATCAAATGGCAGTCTTACTGTACAGTCAGTACTTCTCATGTAAATGTTTTCTCATACTTCTCAGCAAGCAGGTATGAGAGAAAGGGAGAGAAAAGTGAACAGCACCTTGTGTAAAACAGGTCATGTGTACAGTTCATGAAGTGTACTCCCATAATAAACAGCAGCACTATTTTCACTGTTGTAGTTGCTAGCAGGGTGCAGACAGATTTTCAGTGTAACCCTTCCTTTCCTCATTTGGGTTTAGTAGGCCATTTTTACTGTGGCAAGTTACTGGTAGAGAACAGAGGAACAGGGCAAGGAGTGGAGAAGAGGGTAAAAGTCTTTTTAATTTCGTCCTTTGTCACCTTCTGAAATAGGGGAGAAAAGTCACAAAAATAGAACCTATAGAGAAGTACTAGATCTCAGCTTTTTTTTCTTTGGTGACACAAGGTCCATGTTTTCACTAAGTCCTTCCAAGGTTTCATCCATTAGAAGACACAAATTATAGAGGTTTCTTGCAATTTTTGGGTTCATAGCTAACTTCTCAACATTTTAGATGTTTTCTCAGATAGAAGTAAATCAATGGCCTATTCAGCCTGGTTGTCTTACTCTCTCAAAGAGTGGTGCTGGGTGTCAGTACATCCTGACATAAAAATAAACCAGTTCCAGGAAGAAAAATTCTCAGCTTGTCTGGCCAGAGACCTTTCTGTGCTCTGGTGAATGCAAAATGCAGGTGTAGACAGACTGAATTCCCTTTCAACTGCCGTGCTGTCAAATGTAAAGACAAAAGGTGCTGGGCCATCTCCTCTAAACTATGTTCCTCCTTAAAGAGGTTGGACCAGATGATCCTTGATGTCCCATCCAACCTAGCATTCTCTGGTCCTCCTGAGACCAAAAAAAAAAGCAAGGTAGTGGGATGGTCAACAACAGCAATTGGTTAGGTTCTTAGAAATACTTCCGGCAGAATGAAGGATAGACTTAAAAATGCCAAATGAATGGAAGAGAGAAGAAGTGTAAGAAGGCATGGACAGTTTATTTAAGACTATAGTAGACCCATTTCAGGATGTGTGTTTGTCATCTGGGGAGGCAGAAGTAAACCCTGGTCTAAAGAGGTCCTCTCTCCAAATGACTTTATGTCTTAGGCATGGACAGTATGTGCTTCTAGGCCCCATTCCTCAGAGCCAGACCTATGGGGAGTCGAATGCGCATTTCCCTGGGAGGAATGGACCTGAGGGCTTGCACTACCCTCTAGTGACAGAAGCAGAGAATTGCGTAATCTGCGATTTGTCAGCACTTCACTATAGATTCCCTGCATTTCTCACTGTCAGCTGTTTTAAAGCAGACAGCCCGCCGTCCTCACAATGTCGTGATGAAATTAGGCCCAGATTAAAATAGGAAAGAGATGGGTGTCTGTAGTTGAACAGTGGGGTGCTGTGCCCTTCTGGGGCATTCTGCAGTCAGGGCAGCTGAGATGTCCCTATTCCTTTTAACACAGTGGATCTGTGCCAGGCACTCTGATGCTTGGTCTGGACAATTTCCACAAAGACACAATCATGCTATTATGTTCAGGTTTTATTTACTGCCATTGCTGCTTCCTGTGGGCTGCCACCTTTTTCGATAAAGGGGAAGGTCCAGCACACCAGCCTTCCTGCTGTGCTCTTCCTGACCTGGATGTGTCTTTCCAGGGAGTCCATGCAAGTATTTTTTTGTTTTATGCAAATCAAGAATGACTGGTTTTGGTGGCAATGGAAGACTCCACAGCTTTTGAAGTGTAGTGCAAGTAGACTTAGGTCCTCTGGTGTTATATAAGGCTGGAGGGAGATCACTCTTTCTGTATTGCTTTTGAATTGAATCACTTTTCTTGAGAGAAAACTTTTGTAGTTTAATGGTCCTAAAGTGAGATGTGAACAGAAATGGCAGAGGGCATATCAGGAAGATGTAGAGGTATGAGAAAGAGGAAAAAAAAAATTGCTATCCAGAAGACGCTGCAGCTACTTGATCAGTAGCACATGCTTCATTAGGATTTAATAAAAAATTATTGAACGTGGGCATGGAATAGAGCTCCAACTTCAAGATAAAAATAAGAGGCACTTTGTTTTTGGGTAACTGTAGGGCTGACTTAGTTTTAAAAGTTTAAGTTGGTTTTGAGCAGGTCCAGTAAAAACTGATGCTGTGATACTCTGCATGACAGAAGGGAGATAAGAACTGGAAATGAAGGAGAGAGAAGGTTTTTGGTATGCAGTCAGGTTAGGAGGCAATTATTCAGAGCTTCACAGTTCAAAATAGCTGCCCTTACCTTTTGTAAAGATTAAACAGCACACTTAAGCCCTATGGGCCTGCCAGTGCACACATCCTCCAAAGCCACTATTAATTCTGTAGTACCACAGAGACACATCCCACCTTGCAAATGCATAGAGAGACCAGATCCACACCCCAAGTAGCTCACAGAGTAATTGAAAGACATTATTCAAGCAGACTAAAGGTCAGGTTCAGTCTTGTAAGAGCAAATGGTGATGAAGAGAATCTGAACTGGGAAGGGAAGTGATGAAAGTGCATTCTGCAACAGAGTCTGAAAATCTGACTCAGTATTTACATGCTAGAAAAGCATACCTGCAGGTCAGAATCGGGAGTCTGGAAAATACAAGGGCTACAGATAGTAATGTTCCAAACTAAGCATCCAAATTAACATATTGAGGTGTTGTCCTAGCACACTGCATGGAGTCTGTGCTTTGTCTTACAAGGCTTTCTTAAACCATGTAATGAAATTAATAAAACTCTTGAATTCGACTGTTGCCCACTTAGGAACACAGCAGCAGCAGCTCTGAACCTGACCAGAATCTTCTTAACTTTAAGCTGCTGCTGAGGAGACTGATCAGCAAAGGCACTGATGTCTGTGTGCAGGTTCTGGGAAATTCTGCAAGGGTTTGAAACCTTTGTGCCTTTGGGAGGCTCTGGCTTTTTGTTCTGTTTTCTCCTCTGCAAGAAGCAAAATGGTCTTGTTCAGAAGGGTCTGCTATCTTGAGTTGCTCCATGGATTGCCTTTGCTCCTTATGAGTGATAGATGCAGAACACACATGCTTAGCAGCATGATTTTTTTGTTTCACTTTTGTGTGCTTGTTGGAACAAGAAATGGGATTTACACTGGGCACTGCAATACCACAGAAATAGCTGCTTAGTTATGACCAGCATTTTTCAGCTGAAGTGGGATCGTGGATGGGTGACAACTGGAAGGAAGAGGCGAATGTTGTTTGGTACATATAAGGAAGGTATTTGTTCTATCTGTAGTCCAATCTGTGGAAAAAGTTCAGAACAGTAGAAAGTGAGAAGAATAAAGGAGTCGGGAGTTGGAATTAAGCAGAGGAGCACAGATGCTTTTGAAAGTAAACATGAGGGTCTTGAATGTGATGCAGACAGGGAGGGGAACAGGATTGATCAGGAGATAGAAGTAATAATTAAAATAGTAACATACAGAATGGGCCAAAGAGGGCATAGGAGGTAGAATGAAATGCCATGGGGAAATGTGGGGAGGAGGCAGTAGCACAGAGAGCAGCCACAAAAATGAGGGCAGGTTTCAATGCAGCTTCCCACATGGTTATCAATAAGTTGCAGTGTGGAAGAAGGTAGAGAGGAGAGGGAGAACAGAGAGCTCTTCTCTTCCCCATCACCTACAGGTGATGAAAATGTTGATCAAATACCCACAAGAAGAGAGGGATGTGAAAAAACGAGAATGCCACTGAAGCTGGGCTGGCTACAGGAAAAAGCCTGGAAATCTTTCTCCAGTGGTTTTCTCCAAAATTGGAATTTGCTTGTATTTCAGTATCTCTTCATTTCATAGTAGTAGGAAATAAAACCACTAGAGAGTGTGGAGTAATGTGGATCTAATACAAGGTGTATAGTAAATAATGAGATAGGATTGAAGTGAGTACAAACTTTGTTCAGGTCTTATTTACTTAACATTAACTTCTTTTAATTCCAGGTAACGTGGGTCCAAACTCCATTACGAGCGATAAAAACAAACAAACTACCTGTGTGTTATCTTGATGGGGAAGGATTGTCTGGAGAGCTGAAGACTGAACAAGCTGGAACAGTAACCTCTTGAATTATTTTGGACTTACAGCCATGTCCTCGTGCAGTGGTCTCTAAAGTCACTGCACAGTCCTGGATGCACCTGGCACTCACGGTTAAAGCACATTTACTGGGTGAAGCGTAGAGTTTGGATGATTGGTTCCTTAAATGAGGGTTAGTGATGAATGTATTAGTCCATATGTCTGTGTGCACACTTATTTTTTATATAAAAACAACTGTGATGACTGGTCTCAGAGCTCACTCTGTGTCCAGATAAATGCAGGAGATTTTCTGACTTGTGCTGCTACTTCAGTCTGTCTAGCTACAGACTCAGAATCACTGTGTTGCATTGTTTACTCGACTGCACTGCAGAAATTTATTGGTCTGACTGGCTGGAAGGCTAAATCCAATTGAAGTGGCGAATTCTCAGTGAAATAAGGATGTTTACAGACAGTGTAGCAATCCTTTGTCCACAAGGAGTCTTCCTGTAGGTTCCTGTTGTCACTTATCCACATGGAAATGAGTGGTCTAGGAGAAGGGTTTAGCTAGCAGAGGCCAAGATATTAGTATCTTAACTATTTCATGTCATAAATATAGCAGTTGAACAAACTCATTTTACAAGAATGTAAGAAAGAGAATGGGATATATGGGATGTTTAATCTGCAGTTGAGACTGAGTCAGGAGAAATGTCTTATAAGGGGGACTGGGTAGGATCTGGGAGCAATAATGCAGCCTGCAGTTGCTGCTACAAAATCCTTCTTGTTACTGATTCAGCAATACTTTACCATTCATGGAAACTGAATGATTAAGGAGCACATCTTTGAAGCCTAAAAGAAGAAGCAGAGGAGGCATACTAGCTTTTCCAATGTTCCCTTTTTCTTTTTTTTTAAATTAACCTTTCCAAACTCTCAATCATGCCAAAATCAAGAGCTCTGATCCATAAGAAGCACTGCATGCAGTCAGACCAAAGGCATCTGATCTGCTAATCTGTCTCTGAGGATAACCAGTAACAGGTGATCAAAGAAGCATAAAAATATAAAGCTTGTATACAGAGGTCTTTCTCTGACACTGTTCCAGCAGTCTGTGGTCTCTCTGAACTGGTGATTCCCTCTGGATCTGGCATTCATGAATGCACTTAGTCCCTTTTAAAAAATCCTTTGCTACTTTCGGCCTCCACGGTGTTCTTTGGCAATGAACCCTGGAGTTCATTGTGTGGTATGAAAAAGAACTGTTGTCAGGCTGCTTTAATGGTTTTCTTGGTGGTTTCCTTGAGTGACCCTAATTCTTCCACTGTCAGATGTAGTGATGAGCACCCCTATTCCTTGTTACTTGTGATTTTACAGGCCTGTATCATATATGTCCTCAGTCATCACTTAAAGTTGCAGGTTCCTGGTATATGTGGCTATTCATTATATGAGACCTGTCTGACACCCTTGTCCTCTTGTTCACTGGCTCTTTTCCAGTTCTACCCACTAACAGAGTGCAGAAGTAGGTTGTTTCTGTTCCTTCAGTGTGTGGATTGATGTTCCTCTCTGCTGTCTTGCCATCTAAATTACATACTCTGCTGTCATAAATAAGCTCTCTTGTGACACTTAAGAAAAATAAATCCTAATTTTAAGTTGACACCTGAAAGCTTAACATACTTACTTGCCAAAAAAACTATTCAGACATCAGAAAAACACAGATTTAGTTATCTTTCTTTTTATTTTAGATAAACCATTTGAGTTTTTCACTGCACAATGAATTCACAGCAAAGGCAACTGCTGCACTCCCAACACAGAACAAGCTGTTCCAAAACCTCCCCCTAGGAGTGGGGTTGCAGTTCTTGCACTGAAACAGCTGTCTATAGTTGATGATAGAATGTGAGTGATTGATTGATTGATTGATTGATTAGTGGATGGATGGATGAGCTGCCTTTCCTGGAAATATATTTAACTTCAATAGCAAGCAGGTCTGTTTTATTCTGAGTTTACCCTGTAGAACATCTTGACACCTTAAAGTACCAAAGGTATGGTGCACTCTGTTAAACATACTTTTCCTCACTCAGTGGGTTAAATGCTTGCTACTCTATATAGTCTTCTGGGAACAAGCTGTAGTTGTATAGCTGGTTCTGTCAGCTCCTTTTGTCAGCAGTGTTTTATAAAATTGTTCTTGGTAATGGGAGAAAAGAGGTGTTGGAAATTACACCACTGCTTGGATGTGTAAGTTAATACATGCATGAGATATCCTGTTGGCTTTAGGTGTGTGGCTCATGTGCCAAAAGCTACTTGCTGTGTGTTTGTAGGATTGTCTAAAATGGCTTGATTTTGCCATGCTTCCATTTTTCTCTGGACATTTAGGAGATTCTTTCCTCTCCTTGTGTTTATTTCATTTTGTTAGCAGAGATGTTTATCAGGCCAACATTGTTTCACTTTCTGTTCTGATAAGAACATTGTCATCTGGTCCTTCCTTGTTCTCCCTGACTTTTAAAATATTTATTTATTTTTAAATTGTGCAATAAGTGAATTAACTAATTAGTACCCTGTTGATACATATGGTCAGGTTTTCTAGGAAGTCCTTTATCTCTTTGTTTTTATGTCTTTGTTGCTTCATTTTGGGTGGAGTGACTTCACAAATAGTGCAAGGGGCTGATTCTACTTGTCCTTCCTTTCCTTCTGTGCTTACTTACTTACTAACATGCTTTACTTTCTCTTTACTATGATGGATGTGAAAGCACTTTCCTTTAACCTTGTCAAGTAACAGGATCTCCTTTCCAATCACTCTTTGGTTTGTCTTCTGTTTTCTTGCCACACCAGTTCCTGAAAGGTAGTGTTCACTTGTTTTTCAGTTCTTCCCCCCATCACTTGAGCATCATGCCTTGACTCCAGAAGCTAGTAGACTTCCATAGGTTTATCACGTGCTGTTTAATTACTTAATTTGAGAGAGCAAACTTGCTTTCTTGCATGATATCTGTCTTTTTCAACTAGTGACACTTAACCTCTTAATGGTAACATTAAAAGGCATGCAACTTTGAATTATAAAAGCAGTGTTCCAAGGCATGTGTTTCTCTTACAATTTTCCTTAAAATCCATGGAAAAATGGGGATCCTGCAGATTAATGCAGCTGCCTTTTGCATCTCTGGTGTCTGCACAATGAAGCACGGGTACCTTCAGAAGCTGTAAACATACAGAAAAGAAAATGGACAGTAATACTCTATGCTTTTGTATCATCCACTTAAAAATACAAGCATGTTTAACTGCAGTGGCATTATTTCCTTGGGGGCCACAGCAGCATTGGGTCCATGTTAAACTGTAAGAAAAATGTGGAACTCTCGTCTCAAAATGCTTAGTTTAAAACTCATGAGATAGATGTATGAATCAGTCTGGGTTCTGGACAGTTGGACTTGGTGATCTTAAGAGGTCTTTTCCAACCATGATGATTCTGTGATCCTGTTATATGAATCTGCTCCTTAAACTGAGTGTGACTCTGGGGTTGCAGCCTTCCTGGATGTTTCAGATGCTGGTGAAACTTCTTCTTCCCTAAAGATAAGATCAGCTGAACTTGGACTATTTGGCTACTCCTGTGGCAACAGGTCTGAGTCTGGGTGAGGTGACTGCACTTATTTTTACTAGTTTTGCTAATTGTGGTTCTTGATGAGTGCTAGGAAGCTGAAGCTGTGACCTGTAAAATTAATCTCTTATCACTCAGCAGATTAAATGTGGTTGGTGGCGCTGGGGGGCAGAGGGGCAAGGAGCAGGGCTTAAGAATTCTGTTGAAGTCTGCTGGTGGAGGCTGAAGGTACAGCAGTACCTGCAGCAGTCATCATTTGGTCCTTGCTCAAGATGCCACCTCTTGCAATAAACCCACTAACCTCCCAAGGGGGATGGGAAAAATAGGAGACATTTGTTGTTCAGTTTCTATTTTAAAGAACAAGATTAGCTTTCTTTGGCATCTGTGTCCTGACCCTGGACAATCCCAAGAGGACATCTGCTCTCCAGATCTTGTTTCCCCTTTGGCTTGTCAGCCCAGGTTTGCTGATCTGTGTGGCCTACACTTGAAGTCCTGGTTTTGGACAGAGTAACAAAGTTGAAACTCATGGCCTGCTTTTTCTGGCATGAAATGCTGAGTGGTTCTGAATGTGTGTCTTCTGGGTTTCTTCTGGTATGCATTTGTATATTTATGTATATGTTTCCAGTGGATTATGCTAAAGACCTTTTCTAAATCAAACAAATAAACTCTTTACTGTGTTATTTGGCATTGTTTGTTGGTGTCACTTTTCATTTCTAGCTACAGTACCTGGGTTTGGGGGATTTGTCTTTATTTGTTAAGAACCTATACTGTCTGGATTAGAGCAAGCTTCTGTGTAACACAGGAACATCTTTGGCCGATATTTGGTGGTACTTGTTAAAAGATGTCTGGGCAGCTACCTTTCCCACAAGTACAGTGTCCTGAGGCTTTGAGTACCTTGAGAGAGACTGATTCAGTCTTTGCTTTTGCATTGCTGGAGAAGGCAGTAGCAGATGTCCCCTTCAGTTTTTCTTTATTTTCTTTATTTTTAACTACTGCTCTCTTTGTGGCTTAACTGTATCTTGCTGCAGCTATAAATGCATCTGACAAAGTGCCACCTCTGTTTCCTTTTCCATCTTTCTTATGCAATTTGTACCCATCAGCAATGACATTTCATTTACAAAACCGAGTTCCTCTGCTACATTTCAGTTTTACCTGGTACAATGTAATCCTTGACATTTAAGTAACTCCCAAGCTCTTGTTTCCCATGCGCCCTTTGTTTCTCTGTACAAAAGCCTATTTTAAAATTCCTGACTATGTTTCAGAATAAATCCAGCCTCTATTTTACTTTTGAGCATTAGGGTACATGAAGAAGTATTTGCAGTAAACAAAATCTTAGTCTTTCTTTCAGTGTTTAAAGTAAACATAGCAATTGCATTTGTACTGTTTAAGAGGAGTCTGTCAAATCCAAGCTTGTTTCACAGGGAATG